CTGCATCTTGCGGCTTTCATGGGACGCCATTATATCAATATATTAATGTGTGTATATTTTTATCAACCCTTATTAGAAGAGTTGGTATCTAGACTCTACTATTAGAGTATGTGGAGGTATAGGGTTCAAATCTTGTCCCCTCCCCTACGTCATGAATTCAATTCCAACATAACACACTATATCACCGACGTGTTCTAACCAAAATATTAAGCACATAATAATCTAACCATAAATGCCTTAAAGGTGGAAAAATATACCTTTCTTTATAAAATTGAATTAGTCTCACACTTAATTTCTAAAAAAAAAATTAAGGAGAAAGTAACAATCTTCTTTGCTGTTAATTTGTGCTTTTCATGATAAACATTCATTAAAAAATCATTTCAACTTCAACAAATGACATTTTGACTTCGAACTTGATTTTGACTATTTTCTAGTATGATTTTGACAAAACTCAAAAGACGTAAGTTGTAATCTTTTGAGTTAGTTTTTTAATACGACTTAAATCAATTTCGGATGACAAAGTTATACATGAATGAGTTACATTTTGAATTTTAGATAACTCAAAACATCAAAAAGTGTGGCCCATGTTCATTGATTCATGCATATTTTTTCACCCGATAACCAATCTTGGTGTTTCAAGTTGGATTAGAAATCTAACTCAAAGAACTCAAATTCTTGTATTTTAAGATTTGCCAAACTTCGAGTAAAAAATGGTCAAAATAACATTTGAAGTCGAAAAAATATTATTAAAAGTATCAGATCACTCTCTAAGGCCTAAGCATATTAGTGTTTGTTGGGCCAAAAGGCCCAAATATCTCTCTCCCGTGCTGTTTCCAAAAGGGGCCCATCTTACTCTCCTTTGATCACACTTTTCTCCTATTTTCTGTACGTTTTGCCCTTCAAAATTAAAATAAAATATAATATTTTACTACTTTTTTTCTAATTTCTTGGTGCATGTGTTCTTTTTTAATGTGAAAGTGTTAATGATTTTTTTTTTGTTTCATTTATTATTATTTTTTTTAATTGTTAGGGCAGAATGCATAGTGCTCATCCTAGGGCACATAAATGTGCAGTACGTACAAATATTGATTATATCCTGTAATACGAATGCTTGCATATTCTCGCTCAATAATTTTCATAATATATATATATATATATATATATATATATATATATATATATATTTATTTCATATACCTTCTCAATACAGCTTTGAAATTACTTCAACAGGAATATGTAGCTTGCTTTCACTTCAAAATCTCTTCATTTCCTTACGCAGAAGCAATATTTGTTCAAGCACCACAAGCAAAAAACAACTCCATCTCCACAAATATATATAGTACCCGAAATCCCATCTCAAATTAACCCGGTAATTATTTTCAGATAAAACATACATTGGAAACTAATTTCTTACCATAGATATTATTACATGGAGATTGGCAAGAAAATGGCTCTTCTTGTGGGGTGCAACTACCCCAACACACCCCACGAGCTCCATGGATGCCACAACGATGTTCTCGCCATGCGTGAGATTCTCATAACTCGATTTAAATTCGACCCGAAATTTATTGAGCTTCTGATAGACAAGCCCAAAAATTCGATCATGCCCACAGGCGCCAATATCAAGAACACACTAACGAAAATGATCGATCGGGCAGAAAAAGGAGACACCTTGTTTTTCCATTACTCTGGCCATGGAACTTTGATCAATAAAAATTCATCCAAGCAAGAGGAAGCAATTGTACCTTGTGATTTCAATCTCATCACCAGTAAGTTTTTCGTAAATCATATTTTGATTAAAAAAAATGAAATTACGAACTTGAATAATTAAACAATATGATTGATACCTTTTTCGGCAGGTGCTGATTTCAGGCAGCTTGTGAATCGTGTTCCGAAAGGAGCAGCCTTTACTATCCTGTCTGATTCTTGCCACAGTGGAGGGCTTATAGACAAAGAAACAGAGCAAATAGGCCCTGAAAAAGAAAAAGAAAACGGCGTTAATCAGGACTCTTACAAGACGAAAGAGATTCCATTTGAATCATTACTGCAGTACTTCACATCCTTAACAAACAAAATCAACAGAGACATAGGCACACACTTGCTCGAAGTGTTTGGAGAAGATGCTAGCATCATGTTTAACGAGCTCCAGCCAATCGAAAAGAAGCCGTTGAAGCCAGACGAAGGGATCTTGCTTAGTGGCTGCCAAACAAATGAAACTTCAGCTGATGTGGAAATTAATAATATGGATAATGGAAGAAAACCTTGTGGAGCCTTTAGTAATGCTGTTCAAATGGTCTTGAAGGAAAACCGAGGCCCGTTGAGCAACAGACAAATTGTGATGCTGGCTAGAAAGATTCTGATGATGCAGCACTTCAACAACCAGCATCCTTGTCTCTATTGCAGTGACGAGAATGCCGATGAAATGTTCTTGAGTCCACCACAGAAGACATGTCATGTGCATGAGATATAGCATGTGTAAATCCTGCCTTAAGTTCTTGTTTATTATGACAAGAGGATAATAAGATTTGTGCAAAATGTAATCATTTGTTCAAAATTAAACTAAAGAAAGTATATTGACATAAAACAACTACATCGAAAAAAAAAAAAGGAAAACTGGTAACAAACTATAGGTCATGCCAAACATTAAAATCTGTAGTGGATGCATTGTAATTGATTACACTATCTTGGCACCCTAAGAAAAATGTGCTTCGAGCAGAATCTATATTCAGCAAAGCATGTGCGGACCCACTAGAACTAGCTGCAACCGCAACTTCATCGGCACCAACTGTTACGTCAGAGTATCCACTTGTCACTGCATTGTTTTCCAGCTGCACGTTTTAATCACCATTATGGGGTTCAATAACAAGTTGCCGACATGAAATTAGAGAACTTGAATATCAAATAATATTAATATCAAAGTTTACAACAAATAAATGAAGTCTACATGAAATCGGAATTAAAGGCCTTCAGTTGCTATTAGTTTTTAGTTGTGCTGCTGTCTGTTTCTCCACTTGTCCATTTTGAGCTCTTTCGAGAACTCTACTATATACTATCACTGTATATATAGCAATTCAACGTGGTTTTTTTTTATACCTTACAAAATTATAAGTAAATTTGCATCACTGGTAGTATACTAAGCAATCTGCAGAACCCCCACCCCCACCCCCGCCATGTGTACCGAAAAGTTTGGTTGAATGGTACATCAAATTTCATGAAAAATGAAATACTAAGCATAAAACAAAAGCTGAATACGAAAACATTCAAAAAACCATGCGAAGTTTTCACTTCACTATTTCGATTATGTTGTCAGGAAATACTTATAAAACGTAAATACTAAAGTCTAATCCAAACAATTCTAACCAGAGCATTTCATCCTCTCTTTTTTTTTTTCCCGCAGCATTCAGGAATGTGTAAAATGTCCATTATATGGAGTCAAATTGTTTAACAGCTTACTGATTCATAATAATTTAAAATTCACAAAATATTTTGGAGTACCGAATACATGTATCTATATAAGAAAGGGAATGCATACATACCCTCAACACAGTTTTAGCTCCCCAAACTACAAACGTCTCGTTGCAAGTATGGTGTCGATGGTTTCGCCTCATACTTCCAGGTCGGATCTCACCGACATGAATCGAAGCACAAGAAACTGCTCCTCCTGCAAATTACAAGTCACCCCTCAGTGAGTAACATTATAAAATTATGCATAAGAAGATGCAACGAAACTATACTGTAATTACACACTGAAAAAGACACATGCATGAAAACTAAACATTTTGGACTAAGCAAGTTAAAGCAGCTTCATAGTAGTGTACATTACGCACTAATAGTAGTACTGTAGTTCACCCCCTTTTATCTGCTATTTCCACAATTACCAATACCTAACTCTCATCAACGAAACCTAATAATTAAATGCATCATGATTCTACCTTCTCCAAATCACCAATAAATAAGGAAGAAAATAAAAAAAATTAAAAAAAAATTAAAACCTGAAATTCCAGCATCCAAAGCAAGTAAAACGGGATCAATCAACCAGCCACGTTTATCCTTCATCACGAGAGAAGAAGAGGAGGAGAATTTCACAACGTTGGCAGTAGAATCCTTCAAAAACCCGCCCAATTTGTCGTTCGCGGTGTACAAAGATTGGTGGAAAGAAGGTTTGGCATAACGGTGCTGGAATCTAAGAGAAATCCATGTGAGGATGAGGAAGAAGGAGAGGAGAAAGGGGATCGCGTGCTGGAATTGGGTCCGAAATCGGGAGTTGATTCAGGGAATAATATGTTCTTCTCGTATATGCCATTTTTTCGTCAATTCCAGGATATCTGCGCTTCCTAGCGGCGGAGCTCGTGCCTCGTCTCCGGTGGCTGTTGCATAACAAGCAGAAGAGTGTGTGTGCGTGTGCGCGTGCGCGCGCGCGTGTGTGAGAGAAACAAAATTAAGGGAGGGAGGAAGATTGTTTTTTCCCAAAGTCGACGTCGTTTCGTAGTGAGGTTTTCTTTTTCCTTTTTTGTTTTTTTTTTTGTTTTTGTTTTTCAATATTCTTAATTATTTACATTATATTATAATTAATGTATCTTGAGATATTATTATGCCCCGTTAATTTTAATTTTATATGAAACTTTGGAGTACAAATTTATATATTTTGAATTGGTATTAATAGATGTCACCATATAGAATTCCTACTCCATTAAAATAAAATAATAACAAATAAAAACACCAATTGAGAGTTAGTTCCTACATTGTCAAAACAAAGAAAAAAAAATACAAGAAAATTAGACCAGCCACTATTCCATAACAGTATGGTGGAAATCGGAATTAATGGAATTGAAAAATTCCATTCCGATTTACACCCCTACCGGTAACACAAATTCTACAAAACCAATATTTGTGGCACAGCTAGGGGTGGAAATCGGACGGATCGGATCGGAAAAAGGCTTTTCGGAAAATTTCCGATTTTTTTCGGAACTGAATTCTCATTTCCGATTCCGATTCCGAAATATTCGGAATCTAAAAACGAGTTCCGATTCCGAATTTTCGGAGATTTTCGGAAATTCGGAAATTTCGGATATTTTTTGAGAAAGAGAAGAAAAAGAACAAAAAAATCGAGAACGAAAAAATTCCAGCATGAATCGAGTGTTATAATCCCTCATGTCTGCAACACAATCTAGAATTTCTATTATCTTCACATTACCAGAGCAAATGTTCATACATCACATGAATAATCCCTAAAATTACAAAATATGTTAAAATTACAAAAGAAAAAAGTAGAAGTTTTCTGTAGGTGGCTAATTTATCGAAACATAACACAATGGACAGAAAGCTTGAGCACAGGGGGGGGCCACTGCGGAGAAGGAAGAAGAAAAAAGAGTAGAAAATTGAAGTTTGAAAGCAAAGAGAAACTTCAAGAAGCAGCGGCGGTAGAAAATTGAAACGAAGAAAAAATTGAAGTGAAAAAATTAGGTTAGAATTGAAAAAGGTTAGTAGTTGTAATTTTATTAATTGGGCCTATTACATGGGTCATGATTATATTTTTAGAAGAAATAAATTTATGGCCCATCACGGAATAGGAAAATTAGTGGGACCATATGGACATATAATAATTTTTTAATATAAAAAATAAATCGGAAAATTCGGAAAAATATCGGAAAATTTCGGAAAATTTCGGAATTATTTTGGATCGGAATTCGGAAATTCCGAAAATTTCATATCAAATTCCGATTCCGATCCGATTATTTTCGGAAAAATCGGAAATCGGAAATTCGGAAATCGGATTACAAAAAACCGTTCCAAATTCGGAAATATTCGGATCGGAATCGGCGGAAATCGGAAATTTCGTTCCGATTTCCACCCCTAGGCACAGCACAAGTAATATACACATATACCTAAATTAAATTAGTCTAGTTTCTTAATGATGGGCTCATTTAGGCAAACTTGGGCCGAACCATTTTGAAAATGGGCCAGAGAGATAATTTTGACCTAGTATAATTTCCCTATATAAATACATGTATAAACCCTAATTAGGGTCATGCTTTTACACACAATCAATAATATTTTCTCTCTACAAACTCTCTCTCTCTCTATTCTTTATGTCTCTACCGCTTTTTGGTGTCGCGTTCTTCGATCCGACGAGCGGTGGACTTTTCGGCAACACCTAGAGTATGGTTTCGGAGGAGGTCTTGAGGGTGCGAATTTCGAGCACCATCACTTAAGATCACAAAAATTCGGGGTTTCGGGTTATTAATCATCTTCAATGGTGCTTTTGGGTCAAGTAAAAAATATCGTCTTAAGGGAGTGCCAGAAAAGGTCTGAAGGTCATAATCAGGCCGACAAACTCGACTATATTCAACGTCAAGAAAACCAGGTGAACACCTGCATTACAAAAATAAAATTAAAATGATATGTTGTCAAGAATTAATGTTTCATTACATATGCCAACTATTCGGTCACACTAGAATTTTTGCGTATTTAATTACCTGGTACGAAGTTGTTTTCCTGACGGCTTTGAGGTCAAGAGAGTCTGAAGAAAATTGAGTTATACAAACGATTTCATGTGAAGAAAATATAACTAAATTTTTGAACCGGACATGCAGAGCCCTGATAGACGTGTGAATGCATGTGAAGAAAATATAACTAAATTTTTGTACCGAACGCCGGATATAATCTTCCACGCTCAAAATAGGCGTGTGAATGCAAGTTTCCATGCCTGGTTTAGGTGTGGAAATTGCTTTCACATGCCTATTTTGGGCGTGTAACAGACGCGAAGTAAGAAACAAATTCAGCCCCAAATCGCAATTTTCCTTCGATTTTCATATGATTAACCACAAATTCAATATATGTAACTACTTTAGCTGACTAATTACCTTTCAAATTGACGAGATTTTCGGATTTGGAAGGATTTGTGAGAAGGGTTGAGAATTTTTGTGAATTTTGGAGGTTTTGGTGGTTTTGGGGTTTGGGTGAATTTTGAGGTTTTTAGGGAGAGAAAGAGAAGGCTACTGTGAGCGACATTCGTAACTTTGCTGCCGCGTAAATCATTTCAGTAATGGTAATGGTAATGGTATTAATATTGGTGATGGTAATGGTAATGATAATGGTAACGGTAACGGTAACGGTAATGGTATTTATATTCATATTGGTACTGGTACTTAGTACTGATGTTCATTACTTACACAATAGGGAATATATTTTTTTTTTCTTTTACTTTTCTTCTACTTTGTATTGCATATAATTGATATTACTATTTCGAGAT